ACGGGGCTGTGGCCCCCCACACCCTCTAGCAGATCATTACATGAAGGAACCTTTTAAAAACAAGCGCACTCATGCTCACAGGTGTACACACGGGTGCTCACACACACAAACTACACCCTTTTTGGCTCCTACCTCAAAGCACACTGTGCGCTGTCGATCTTACGTGCTGCACAATTCTATTCACTATTTAGTATTTACTGTTATATTCATCATCGCGATGATGTTGTTTATTATATTGCGCTCTTTTTATGTTTTCTCTTTTTTCTTTCTCAACAGGTGATCCAGGTGATTGATATATTGTATTTTTTGTCTGTTTGTTTTGTTGGTTTTTGTTTTTTGCCCTTTATCACCGTTCCTCTTCCCCGCTGTTTTTCTTCCCCTCTTTCTTTCTCCCTTTTCTTTTCTTTTTTCTTTTCTTTGTACCTGTAGGAAACAGGAAACATACAACATACTCCGAGGACCATATCACACTTTTGCTCCAAAGCACCTTGGTGCTGTAATCCAGCCATGCCCACAAATGTAAGCGCATTATTCTTCTGACCAAAGAGACATTGTTGTGCGTCTTAGTTTTGCTCTACTCCACGTTTGTTGGTATATGAGAAAAGTTTGGCTGCTTTGTTCTCCCACCACCAAGAAATGAGCAGGAAATAGAGTTAGCATTAATTTCCACTGGGGTTTATGTGATAGGAAAGCTGTGTCAAATATATTTCACTAACGACATTTATTTCAGAGTTGGCAGCTCTGTGCTGTAATGACCTGGGCCTGAGCGAGATCTGAGAGGAAAATAAGGATGAAACGGAGAGAGGCATCAGAGAAAAGAGTGGAGGTGCTTAATGTGGATTTGAACTGAGGATGGATGGAAGGATGGGGAGTTACATAAGGGGAATACAGAGAATACGTTTAACAGCTGTTTGCAGTCAAACGTATGAAATGTAACCCACTGGAGCAAAGAGGCTGTAAAACGTGGGCTTCTTTAAATATTTATACGTTTTTATAATTAAAGTGGAAAAAAGTAATTGTGACATGTGACAAGGTTGTCATGTGACAAGCAGATGAAGAACATAACCATGAACCTCTTGAAGTCTGCAGGTAATCGATCCCCAGTGATTGGAGAGCTGGTACAATGTTACATGGGGCATCATATCTAAGTGCTGTGTCCACATGATGCTGGTAGAAATATTCCACTTTGTGTGTACGCAAGCGCTACATGTGACGTGCACGGATTTAGGGATTTTTTTATTTTTTTATTTTTTTTACATCTGGGGGGATTTAGTGAGAGTCTGCCAAATATAAGCAACATCTAAATGCAAATGCTTCAGTCAGACAAGCAAGTGAAAGCTTTTAGAGCGGCAGCCAGTCCTCTGACTTGAATGTCAGTGAAAATTGATATAAACATGCTGTGCGTGCAAGACAGCCTCAGAATAAAACAGAACAGAAAAGATCTGGTAAGACCTATATGCAAAAAATACATAAATTAAAAAAAGAAATCAGGATCAGAAGTGAAGTGATAGCATTATTGATTATCTCTTTATCATGGCACCAGTTACTGAGTGGGATATGTTAGGAAGCAACTGAACATTTTTGTCCTCAAAGTTGGATGAGCTCGAAGCAGAAAAATGGGCAAGCGTAACAATTTTAGTGAATTTGACAAATGTCAAACTGTGATGCCTGGACAACTGGGTCATCTCTAAACTGGGGTGTTCCTGGTCTTTGATGGCCAGTGTGTATCAAAAGTCATTCAAGAGAGGAACAGTGGTAAACCAGCAAAAGGGTCATGAACGGCCAAGGCTCACTGGTGCAGGTGGGGAGCGAAGGCTGACCCATGTGGTCTGATCCAATAGACGAGCTAATGGAGCTCAAACTGCCCAAAATGTGAATGCTGGATCTGACAGATTACAGAAAGCATCACAGTTTGTTTCTTAAGATGCTGCAAATGCAGACAAGTCAGGGTACCCATGGTGATGCTGTTTTCCACCTGAAGCACCAACAATGGACTGCAGAGCAACGAAGAAGGGGGCCTGGTCTCAATCAGGCAGTCTGTTGGACGCGCTGTGATGCTTTGGGCAATGTTCTACTGGGAAACCTCGAGTTCTGCCAACCTCGTGGATGTTACTCTGACACGTGCCACCTATCAAAGCATTGTTGCAGATCATGTACGCGCTTTCATGGAAACGGTATTCCCTGATGTCTGTGGCCTCTTTCAGCAGGACAATGTGCCTGAATCTGAAGTTGAATCATTGTCAATATGAGTGCCAAACTGAAGAACAGGAGAGAGGCACAGTGAGCCTCTACAGCCTTCAGCAACATGTGGTGGAGGTTTGGGGCAGGATTTTAGGCAGCCGTGTTGAGGATAATGTCATCTCATCTGGAAAGCATGTGATTAGCACAGGACAATGTGCTTTGACAATGAACCCAAACACACTTCCAATGGAGTAAAAGCATACCTGGACTGGTCTCCCC